CCACACACGAAATTCCCACCCCGCATCACTGAGAAATCTTGCAGTGTTTTGGTCACCTGGTATTGCTACATTTCCATTGTAAAGAAGGCACTTTGTGATTTTCAAGCACTGATAATGTTGAAATTGTGGCCGGAAGAGGGGAGAAAAAAATTTAAAAAACAACCAAACAAAAAGAACTTTGGGGCGGGGGGAAAGCTGCTTTTTTAAATTTTGTTTAGGTTCTCCATCCTCATACTTGAGCATGCTGACTCACCAGATGCAGTTTGGATCATCTTAAACAATATGATATCTTCTAAGGCTTAATTGTACTGATTTCATTGAGGTTTATTTCTGCTTAATTCTCTGATCCTTGAGGAAAAGCACTGCTAACAAGATGGCTAAAAATAATTCAGTCCCAACCCTGAAAATACGAGAAAAAACTTTAAGAGGAGTTGACACATAGCTCAAAGCATAGAGTAAGGTTGTGGGTAATTTTACAAAATAAAGTACTAGGTTACAGCACGTATCCTCACAAAGTGTTTATGGCCTAAAATGTAACTCTCCCTTAAGAAGATTTATCTCTCATGAAATCTAAGGCAGCTGTGAGATAGAGGAGAAGGGTCTAATCCCAGTCTGACACTGTCACAAGTCACAGTCCCCTGACAACCTGGGCCACAGGCCTGGAGGGTTTTCCATGAATCATGACCATGTTGCTTATTGTCTCTCAATATGCACAAAACAATAATCCTTTGCCACATCCGTGAATTTCTGTGTTTCCTACAGATGAAACAACAGCCAGTCTTGCTGCTTGATTCCCTTGAAGCCCTGTTACATTGCTAAATAATTGCTATCACTCAGTTCTTTCATTTATTATATGAATAATCATCTATATATTCCGTAATTTAGCAACTTTCTTCAGTCTGAAAACTACTAAGAACCAGTCTTCCCTTTGACAAGTGTCTTAGAGGATTTAGAGCTGGTTACAGCACTGTCTTCATTAATGGGCCAAGTAAATAATGTTTGTGGTTAAATGCAGAGCTCAGCAGAGGGATGTCGGGCATTTCTGGCTGAGTGTGTTGGAAATTTTCCCCCCAACATTTCTCTGTCTCTCTCCCCATCTCCCATGCTGTGGTTCCAGCTCACAGACTGACTTGTTTCAACACTCCCCACTGAAGCTGAACGATAATTATAATTTGGCAGTTGTTTTGAAGAAGAGCAGAAACAAAGCCTTCTGGAACTTTTATGTAACATCCAGTGTTGGCATTTCCATGAGTTGCAAGATGATTATGTGAGGCAAGTACAGCTCCCTCATACCCAGGCCTGTAGGAGAGCTGGTCAACAGATTTAAGATGGCTAATGCAAAAGAGGAATTCCAGCAATCAGACTCACTGAAGCCTTGGCAGAATTATAATGAACATAAATCCTAATTCTATCCCAACTGCCTTTGATGTTAAATCTGGGCTTAAATTATAGCTGCTGTTAATTGCAGCACAGAAATATTTTGCATAATGATGAGACTCTGTTGGTTCCTTTCACCTCATTTATTTCCCTGCTGAAGAAAAAACCCCGAGCAATCCAGCCCTGCAGCAATATCCAGGTGTAAGACCCACATTGGCTCCTCACACAGCTGATCTCCCAACTCTCCTGTCACTGGTCACAAGCAGGCAGCACACCCAGTACAATAAGTGACAGACCTGATGCTGCATTCCTTCCGCCTCTGAGAGTCTCGTGTGGAATGCAAGAAATGCAACACTGCACAGTGGCCCATCCTGTATTTCAGAGGTGCTGAACAACTGCACATCCCTGCCTTCTGCTGCCCCAGGGGGATGAGGTGTTCCCGAGAGTCAGGCACTCCTGGGTGTGCTGTAACTTCACTACGCTTACGAGAAAATCCGCTCTTCTGAAACACTAACCTGTGACCAGAAGATGTGTTTTAAATCTCACTAAAACCATCCAGCCATTTCATTAGAAGAAATTACGATAAAACTCCAAAAAGTCCCCAATTTCTAAAAAATCCCATAGACTGTTCAGCAAAAACACCACCTGCTCTCTATTAAGGATTCTGTTGGCACTGGGATCCACATTATAACCAAGCTAGAAAAGAGTATTTTTCAAGTAAAGGAAACAAATTCAAAGAATGTAAAGTTTTCTGGGAAGGTTCATTTCAATTAGTTTAATTTCAGCCAGTGACAGCCTCCAGTTTTCCTAGGGAAGAGCATGGAGTGTTCTCTGAATTTGACAACATCGTTGCGTTCGAGAAACACTTCTATTGCAGGATGTCTCTGTGAATGTGCTGAAGGAGCAAAGAGACATGTGGTGGTATCACAATGTTACCACAACTGATGTACAGAATCAGAGAGTAATTCCTGCTGGAAAGGTTCTCTGGAGGTCTCTGGTCCTGGGCCACCATAGGGCAGATTGCTCAAGTTGAGTTTGAGTATCTTCAAGGATGGAGGTTCCATAACCCTTATGGGCAATTTGATAAGTAAGGATTAAATTCTCTGCATCAAGCTTTTTTGAATGACTTACACAAATAAAACACTGCTGAGTATAGAGTTAAATACCAAAATTCTGTTAGAAATTGTTTATTCTACATCAAATCAGAAAGGATCCAACAACAACCCCCTGTATTTTCACACTGATTTTCACACCTGTTCTCAGGTTTAGAGTAAGGCCATTCTACTCAGTGTAGTACTCTGTATAATACTGCTTCATAATTCTCAAGATAAAGGAAATGTTGTTCATGTGTTTTACCTTTACTTAAGACAACTAAAGAGCAACCCAAAATGTGAGTGGCAGATCTGAGTCCCACTAAGCCCAAAGACTGTGAATTCTCAAACACCTCAATCCCTGATCACCCTGTAGGGTTGTATTTCTAATCCTCCCTATATTTCTCATTAAATAAAGATGTACTATGATCTCTTTAAAGGGAACAAAACACAAACTTCTTAAAAAAAGGATATAAAGGGCCAGGGTCAATATCCCTAACCCAGCCTAGTGCCTTAGCCACTGAATCCATCATCTCTCATAAACCAAAATCTTGGGTTGTCTTGAAAAAGGAGCAGAACCTTGCATAAGTTAAAAATCTCCTGGTATTTAGTGGAAGCTGGCTGCCTCCTAACTTCATATTCCTTTGGAAATCCCAACCTAGAGCCACTTGTAAACTTCAGATTCGATTTCAGCTCTCCAACTGTTCAAAATCTCATGGTCATCTTCTAACAAGTACGAGAGCACAGAAAGGGCAAGGGGATGTCAGAACATTCATTGCACACATAGACTGGTAAAGTTTCTTCTCTGAGTTAGCAGCCAGCCCATGTGGAAAATCTTTGATGCAGCATCATCAGAGGCGCCTGGAGCTCTTCACACAAACAGTGTGGGCAGAGGGGGCCAAGGCTGGATTAATTTCCTGGAATTGGTTACCGAAATAGATACATCTTGATTAAATCCCTGAACAGACACGTACCTAACATTTTCATGTTTAATTTTTCATGCATTTTAAAACATTTTAATAAGTGGAACTGTGAAATATGAACTGAAGTGTTCACATTTTATGAAGCTTAATTTCCATGTTACTTTTGCTTGCAAGCACAGGAAAATACCATTCCATTGGTACGGACTGTCTGGTACATTTCCTGTGCTGAAGGCACAGAACACCCCAGCAGCTGGGATATGGCTGCTCCATAACTTTGGATTTGTTTGTCAGCATGTCCTACACTCATGAAAACAAGAAAATCAGAGGGTTTGTATATCAAGCTGCAGAAAAGAAAATCAGATCAGCACAGCAGTTACAATATCAAAGAAGGTACCCTGAGACAATGCCTTGCCCTGCAGTCACAAAGGTGTTTACTGACCCTCAATTCAAAGGGGAATTTATGTCCAAGTAGAACACGTGAATACTTGACTCAGGGAATCACATCAGTTCCATCACAACTAGATATCAGTCAGCTGTATTTCCTGGATACCAACTCTCTGCTCTAACTCCCAGGCCTACAGAACACACTGATTTTATATTTGCAGTGATCTCCATAACAGACACTAATATTTGGCCAGCATAAAAATAAACACAGTAAAACCTGTTTTTGTAAGACAGATGAACTAACCTGTTCTTCGTAATCATCATGGAAAGAGAGTCCTCTGGAGTTATTTCAGAGTTTTCAGTTTAGTCTTTTATATTCCTGTCTTTCAAGTGATTTGGTAGATTAGACTTTTTTGTTTTAAATACCTGCTCCTTCCCCTTCTCCTCCTCCCTGCTGAACACCCCGTTACACTTGTTACCCTGTTCTCATTCTGTTCCTCCGTTTTCCCTCACCCCAAGTAGCCCCGGAGAGATGTCACGGCTGGACTTGTCTGTCTTTGGTGCCACCTACGGGCAAGCGCTGGTTTGCCACAGAGATACTCCAAAACTTCTATCCATGAAGGCTTTGCAATCTCAGTGTGGGCTTCTCACAAGGATTACTTCTTGAATGTTCATTAATTCCGACACAATTATCAGATCCTCTCTAAGCCCAGGCCACACTCTCAATTATTCCCTAGTAATCTGAAATAAAGGCAAAGCTAGATTCCCAGATATGTCAGATATACCTATTACAAATGTACCAGTACTAGTATTATTTGAAGACAATTAGGGCAAGTGCAGGAGTAATGCTTCATGGGAAATTCCCATCAGGATCAGGTCCTTAAAGGTCAAAGTGTACCATGAAGATGCCCATTTGTTGCTATCATTAAGCTTTAAAAAAAATTATATTTTTTTAATTCACACATCAAAAGTAATTTACTTCGATAAAACAGGTGCAAGCTGAAAGGATTTACTTAGTGTGGCACTAAAACTTCCATATTGTCTAAAACAGCATGTGCATTCCTTTGGGATATAAATATCAATCTGATTAGCTAGTACATCTTGTCAGTCACAGTAACTTATCCCCTGGTGTATCTGAGCCATCACGTGGCTCTGGGACTTCTGTAAAAGGTCAAGAGGACTTAATTAAAATCTATATAAGTCGTTATCTCTGTCATTTGAACAAGAATTAAGTCAAGAGGACTCTGCAGATTTTTTTCCTTACAAAATTTTCTTGGCTTGGGGGAAACTAAGAGGCAAGGTGAGTTCAATCTTTCCTTTGGAGCTTTAGAAGACACCACAATAATTCACAGAAAAAATGCATGGAAATAACCTGAGATCCCCAAATGCTGGGCAGTTCTATAAATACCTTCGAGTTTCTCCTCAGCTTGGGCACCTGAAGCCTTAACTAGAAATAACAGTGAGTCAGATGCGGGACGTGGATCTGGACTAAAGGATGGAGCAGTTGGCTCCTGCAGGGCAGATCCCCTGCTCTGCCCTGGACCTGGGCTGCAAATGCCCCCCTGGGGAGACCTGTCTGTCCTCCTGGGCACCACAGCCTGGGAGAGCAAGAGCAGTGGGAACTCTACCCAACAGTGCTTTTCATTTTGCAGTAGCTTTGCCATGGCTCTTTCTGCTATCCTGACAGAAGCTGAAATTGCTGCTGGCCTACAGAGCTGTCAAGGTAATATTTATGGGTTAAATTCGGCTTCTCAGTTTATCTATCAAATTCCTTTGTCCCCGCTACCTCAAGGTCCCAATTCCAATAGAAACAGAAAAGGCTGTTTGAGAAAGAGATAAAGGAGGCAAGGTAATGGAAGAGAGGCAAGTTTTAATCTTTGCCAGCCAAGGTACAGGAACCCATTATCACTTGTGCACTGTAGTAATATTAAGTATGAAAAAAACCAATGCCTGAAGTCCTGAGGCAGAAATCCTGTTTTTTCAGAGAATAATAATAAAAATACCTCTGATTTCAATAAAATATTTACCGTCAGGTTCTGTGAATTTATGTTTGAGCGAAGTATCTATTTACAAAGGTATGTTCTTGCATGATAAAGACCAGAGCCATTATTTATATTCCTAGGTTTGAGACATCATTGATGGAAAAATCCCATTAATCTGATGTAAAGTCAGGAAAATCAAAGGTTGTTACTTGGGGTTTGTAATGACCCTCACTGTACTGCAGAATAGTTTGCTGGCTTTTGACCAAAAAGCTAATTTTTTTTTGGTTCCAGATCTTTAACTACTTTTCTCTCCCCCTTCCTGCTTATTTCAGCTGCTGACTCGTTTGATTACAAAACCTTTTTTGTCAAAGTGGGTCTCAGCTCCAAGTCCAAAGACGAACTCACCAAAGTCTTTGGCATTCTTGACCAGGACAGGAGTGGATTTATTGAGGAAGAGGAACTGAAGTAAGTAAATTAAAAAAATGAGTTACCAACAAGATTGTGTTCTGTCATCTAAAAACAAGATCAGAAATACTCCCTTTCCTTCTCTCTCTCTGGATGAGACAATGGTGGGGGGTGTGCACATGTGTGAGTGCCTGTGCTGGAGGAGCTGCAACTCAAATAACAAAGGCAAGGCTGGATCACAACGAGAAAACTCTCTGACAGCACCAAAAAAACTTGTTTCATGTAGTGATAACTGACAGACTGTGAAGATAAAAATAGCAGTTCTGCTACAGCTGCTACTTATTATCGCAAGAATCTTTACTAGACTGAATTCAAAGGGCTATTTTTCTCTCATCTTTCTTTCTGTCACATGAATTCTACCTTCCAGATCACATTCATCCGGCTTTGAAGCTAAAAGTAAGGTTAGAGAAATTCTTGTCACTCTCAAGGATCTGCATCTTAGGATGAAGAAGGAAGATAACGAGGAAGGGAAGACGACTCCTGCCACTACAGAGCCAGTGTTAATTTTGCCTTTTTAATCCAGTGAAACCAAGATGCCATCAAGCATTTTTACATGTTGTGATGCAGCATACTCTTACTTTCTTACCCTTACTCTCACTGAAGTCAGAGGAAGTTTTGCCACTGAAACAGTCTGCAGAACTGAATGAGGCTTGACATTTTACAGCTACTGCCAGTATCAAACCCCACACTCTTCCAATACTGAGCATGTCTCAGTCATTTGTCCTCTCTCCTTTAACAGACTTTTCCTGAAGCATTTCTCTGCCAGTGCCAGAGCTCTGACTGATGCTGAGACCAAGGCGTTCCTGGCAGCAGGGGATAGTGATGGAGATGGCAAAATTGGAGTGGATGGTAAGACTGCCTTTAGTAAAAGGAATAATACCTGCCTTGGAGACTTCCTAATGGCAGCTCCAAGCATCTGCCCTGCTCCATGCACTGGATGTTATGGATTGGAGTCTGAGGTGCTCAGATCCGCCCTGTGTTGTAGAGAGGATCTAACACAGGAACTGGTCTATATAACACTATATGCAACACTGTCTTTGCCTGAAGTACCTAGTACTATGACTACACAATGTGTAGTTCCTTTAAGGAAAGATTATCAGAAAAAGCATCATTAGTTTCCCATTTTAACTTTAAAAATTAAGAAAGTAATTTTTAAACTGTGCGACTACAAAATGTGGTCCCATTTTATTGCTCTTTTATTTATTTTTCAGAGTTTCAAGCTCTGGTCAAATCTTAACGAGCAGTCAAGATAAAGACCAAGATATCTGTGCCATAAACAATCTTTTCTATTGCAAGTCTACTAGTTATTTACGTATGTTGTACCCTGGAAGGTCATGAAAGACTGTTGGCAAGTGATTTCATACTGCTGGAAAACATCTAAAGTAGTACAAGCACTACTTAAACCACGTTTTAAGCAGAAGGTCTATACCACTGGGAGACTGAACTGGAATCCACTCTGCTCATCTGGATTTTGGGCATTAAAGGTACAAATAAAAGTAGTAAGAGGAGAAATTTAAAGCATCTATGTGGGCCATCGAATTTTCAATATTTGCATAAATAGCTAGCACATGTTGGAAAAAAATAGAATTAATAAAATGTCCAGGTGTAAAACCTGGTTATGGTAACTGGTATCAGTGGTATTTAATCAAGAGGTGTATTTAATGTTCCATATGCTTTTATGTCACTCTTTACACAACTGATTATGTTTCAGAGACTAATTATATGGCAGGACCTAGCACCAATTAAACCACCAATTTAAGATCAACTGGATCCAGGATGAATCTAGATTACTGAAATAGCAATACACTCAAAATCCTCCAAGGAATCCCTCACCTTCGTGCCCACCCGATGGCACTATTGTTCCACTGCTGAGGAGTTAAACCGGAATTCCAGCTGCTTGAATTAATCCAAGGGAAAGCAATTCTTGATGGCTTTAACCACCCCAAACATTATAGTTGCTCCTACATACTCTTTTAAAATTTGGAACTCTTGACAATTCTGTTCTTGGACACTAATTTTGCAAAAACTGGTAGACAACTGTCACACACTTTGTTTGTTGGAGCTATTTAAGAAGATGTTTCAGTATTCGCAGATGAAAAATCTTAATTTCAAAATTATCTGCTGATGCATAACTTGTTTGTGATGGGACATTATGGAGAAGGAAGGAAATATCAATACAATATTGGGAAAATCATCATATTACACAAAATTAAAGCCATCTGCAAGACTTCAATGAATGCTCAATAAAATGTTCATGACTTATAAATTAGCCAAAAATATATTTCCATTAACTGTAATGAATTAATCAGGTCCTAATATTGTAGAATTTCCTTTAAGAGTGAAAAAAAAGTTTATCCATCTGACAAATTGACATTTATTCTTTCAGTGTCATCTAGGTGAGCAATTAAAAAAAGAAATTTTGCAGAATTAGTAAGCGCAGCCTGACTGCAGGGCTAAAAGCTCTCATCATTGTCAGAAGATGCTTTGTATCTCAGCTGATATTATGGTTTACATTTTCACTATGCAATATGGGTCACCAGGAGATTTTCAAGCATTGTACCAACATTAATGGCTAAATAAGAGAAGCCCAGACAGCTCAGATAACTTCTGAGATAGCAGGCAGCTCCTTTATTTAACCACACTTACTTCCACCCTGATTAGCCTGCTAGGCCTACAAATCTAAGACAATTTCACCACTTACCATTCCATTAAGAACAGTAAAAAATTAATGACAAGGTAAGTCTGATATCAGCCTCACTGATCACTCCAGAAAGTTAAGAAGAGCTTGTGACTAGAGATGTTTTTAGACCTTTCCTTCTTTCAGTATTGCCACTTAGCAGGCTGGTGGAGAAAATGCTGCTTTCTATGTACAAGAACACATTTACTTTCTTTTCCTCTGTGTCTCTACTCACACAGGCTGTCAGGTACTGTGAAATTTCTGCAACTACTTCTTGGGTGCTTTAAGAAAGCTCTTCAAATTGTACCTGTAAGGCCCCAGCTGGAAAGACTCCTGCCTGCTCATAAACATACATTGCCAAACAGCTCCCTTAAAGCAAAGACCATGCCACTGGAATCACAAATTTGGAGGTCTGAGACCCTAAATATGTGGTTGGCTTTTGTCAGTGGAATTTTGTCACCTGCCTGGTGCACGTGTTTTAAGAGCCTGTCTGAAACTAGACACTTGCTGCCCGTTATTTAGAAGGCTATTTCTGTTAAAGAAATGATTTTTTATGATTATTTATGATAAGGTTAACTCTAATTATAGGGTAATTGTACTTTATGCCTCACTAAGGGTTATACATCCTCCTGCTGCTGAAATTAATGGCAGGAATCCCACTAACATCCATGAGGGCAGGCAGTGAATACAGAAATAGTTGGAGGCCCCTCAGTGCTATTTGCTTTGTTCTACCATGACTTCACCCACTGTGGGGCACAGTGAAATGCAGCCACGTGCAAAGGGCCTTTGGTAACAGCAGAGTAGCACTGCACTTATCTTTTACATGTCACAACAGGCAGCATCCAAATTATTTCGCAGCCTCGAACCTTAGGGCATGTTTATTCTCAAAATACACAGAAAACCTGAACAATTTAGATTCTTAAAGACCACTCCACCTGATGCTGTCTGTAATGTTGACAGCAGAGAGAAACATCTTAGACAATCACACTTAGGATCAGAGACAGAAAATTGTGCTACTGAGTCACAGAAGCACTTCCAAGTGCATTTAAAGACAAGCACATATCATATCAAATGCTAGCAGAGATCTTCCAGGATAGCTTTTTAAGTGAAAAAATGTGCTGATCAGACCAGTCTCTGTGAATTAGTGACACTGTTCCTTCCTTATGTCAGTCTATTCTGCTGTCGTGTTCAAACAGAAATCCATTGCATTCACACAGAACCATGAGGACACCGTTTGAGCTGGGAAAGCACAAGTGACATTTCCCCTAACGTGAGAGAAGTACCTGCTTTGCTTTAGCTCCAGACCAGAGTGCTTCAGGATCTATCTTGTGTCTCGGATTCTACAGTCCAGGCCTCTGCTCTGTGCTCAGGGTAATATCCTGCAGGGAAAAGGAGCTTTGTCACTGAGGCTTCTGGGGCCTGGCTTCCATCCTGCATCCCAATAATGTACAGTACCAAAAAACCACGTACTACTCCTGGTGCTCAAACTTTTCAGTTTAATATGGTAAAACACTACTGTCCAAGCAACAATTCAAATCAGTTTTTGCAATTATTTCTATATGATTAAAGCGTGTGCCTTAAGAGACAACTGGAAGGGCAGGATATATCTCATTTTGTTTTAAGGTCCTTTGCAATGATTAGGGCTGTAAGCACACCAGGATTCTCTGCCATCACCACTGAGGCCTCAACACTACTGAGCAACCACACAGGTTACTGGGTACTTATTTCAGTTACTTCCAAACTCATTACAAAGGCAGAATCATGATCCAGGATCATGATACAATTGGCCCTGACACAGCCAGGGCTGAAAGATGGAGTTGTGTGGGTTTTAGAACAGCTGCTACAGCATCTCTTTACACCATTGTAGCTGGTCTCAGGTTAACACCTCTCCTCTGATCTCACCTGAGACAACTGCTGATGGTTCTTTTGCAGCTGCTTGAAGTCATGGCTCTGGTTGATTGCCACTGCTAATTAACTGTGTCCTTGATGCCAAACAGAACACAAAGGGGACTAGTCCACAATCTGTTAGTGCTTCACCAAAGCACAACTTTCCTCTGATTCTTAGAGAAGTAAATAGTACTTGCTTTGAAGACAATTGTTTCATATGTTTAGATTCCTGGCAAGAACTTATCAATATGAATGCTGTGTATTTCTCAGAATCACACCTTCAAGTTTAATTCTGGAAGTCTGAAAACAAAAAAAAATTTCTTTAATACTATTTAATAAAGACACCTCAGGTGAAAACAATAGATATATAAGCACATAAATATTCAGATGAACGACTCAATAGAGCTTTCAGATGTCCCTTGTAGAGCAAAAAACCCCAAAACAAATAAACAAACTCAAAGAAAAAATAATATTTTTTCTTGACTTTCATAGGAACAAGTGCTAAACATTCCTGGAAATCATGCAATGCTCGGATTCTGTGCCAGATTTTGCACTTCTGTTAACTGCCCGTTACCTAGCAGCATTAGGGAATTTATTTCTAGGGATTTTCTTTATAGCATTACATTTGCATAACATCTTTTAAAAAATTGCTTTTATAGATCTCACTTTTTGAATGTATAAAATAATTACAATCACCCAGGTTAACACATACTCCAGAAATAAGAAAAGCAGACAATTTAGCTGTAAAATAAATTATCTCATTAAAACATCCCTTAATATACTAATCCCTGATTATTGCATTCTAATTGTAGTGGAGGGAACCCTGTACTTCAGATGAAGTGTCATTAATAAATAAATAAAACCCAGTAACCCTATATTCCCACCTGTATCAATATACAGTGACATCAACTTGATTCTGAAATTCAGCTCTTTTAGGCTTTTGTAAACCATCTTTCAGCCAGGATTAGCATCACTTTTGTTGTCAGTGTTGAATTTCAAACATTCAAAGATCCCTTCGTAAGCAATAAGAGCAATTAGCTCACTTTTAGTTGAGACCATATTTTAACATAACACTAATTCTGGCCACTTTACTCCTGTGCAATGCAAGAACAGCTCAGCCCCCTGTGTGCCATGGCAGTGTATGAGGTAACCACGTGCCATTCCTTGAACATATGTGCTTATATTTTAATGCAGTGCCTGAATTAGTTGCAGGCATATTTTGAGCTTGAGTATTACATGCTCACCTTGATCTTGTCATTTTTCTCTACTTCATTTCAATTTCCTCATTCTCTCCATTACTAATTAGTGTTGGATGGCAAGTCAAACATTCAAACAAAGCAAGCAGTTCAATGAGCACTGTGTAGGAGCCAGCAGAAATAAAGGAAGTCTCCTATAAAGCACTATCACAGAGTTATAAAAAACCACCTTTTCTCTAGAAACGTGTTGGCAGTAAAAATGACAAGAGGAATCAGTAAAACAACCATTCTGTTCAAACTCGTGTCAGCTTGAGATGGTTATAAAGGAGAAAATTCAGACGGGGTGGAAAAAGGTACCTACGAGGATGAACGTTAGTTCAGGACCATTTGGAGAAAGATCTGTCACTGCCACTGCCTGATAGACCATAATATCATGGAAATCTCAGCCAGAAAGCAACATGAGTATATAGTACTCATGAATGAAGAAGACAAATGGAAAGAACACTCAAAGGTCTGAGATCAGATCTTCAGCTTTGTTTAATTTGTTTTAGTCAGACAATAGTGATGTACAATAGCCCAGGGTCCTTAGGTGTAACAGGAAAGGGTTCTTCCAGTTTACCTACTGGGAGAGAGAGAAGAGAGCATCATTTCCTTACCAGATGCTGGGATTTGGGACCAAAGGCAAGTCTGATTATTTGTGGTTTAAGCCACTTTCTCTTGCTTACAAAAGATGGAGCAAAAAGGGTAAAAGTATCATTACATTATGTCTGCTTTTTGTGCTCCTGGTACCTTTTTTTCTCCATCCAAACCCAAGCAGTGCTGTGGAACAACTGCTGTGACTGCCACTTCTGTCACTGCCATTAAACCAAGCAGGACTAAACTCACTGCAGTCCATTCACTTACACCAGGGTTTAAGTATATTACTGCTCTACTCCACAGTATAATTTGTAACTGTTGCTACTATAAAAAATATTACTTGTTTGGCAGACCATGCTATTCCAATTAATGAAAAATAAAGCAATGCTCAGCTAGTAAGAGAACATTACTTTAGATACCATAATAGGCTGTTACACAATAAACTCTAACCAAAATACATGTGAGTTTTATTGGCTTACATCCTAGAATTTT